TGAGCCCAGGAATTGGAGGTTGCTGTGAGCTGTAATGCCACGGCACTCTACCCAGGGGGACAGCTTGAGGCTCTGTCTCAAAAAAAAAAATGAATCTACCCTTTTTGTTAATCCAGACATTAAATGCACCTGCAAAAACATTCTACACAATGCCATTCTTCTCATAAAATATTTTTTGAGGGGTTTTGGAATATGTACTTTTTTTTTTTTGAGACAGAGCCTCAAGCTTGAGCCACCCTGGGTAGAGTGCTGTGACATCACAGCTCACAGCAACCTCCAACTGCATATGTAACTTATGTTAACATGCAATAGGTTTCTTATTGTTCTTTCTAAACAGATTACTAAGTATTTTTGAGCTTCTCAGTTTCACAATAGATATGTAGACAGGTATCACTCATATAAACAAAAGCGCTTTTTTATTCATTTTAAAAAATTCATTCATTCATTCAAGACAGAGTCTCATTCTATTGCCCCTGGGCAGAGTGCCATGGTGTCATAGCTCACAGCAACCTCAAACTCTTGGGATCAAGCAATCTTCTTGCCTTAGCCTCCCTAGTAGCTGGGACTACTGGTACCCACCCTGACACCTGGCTAGTTTTTTCCATTTTTAAGTAGAGACAGGGTCTTGCTATTGCTCAGGCTGGTCTCAAACCCCTGAGCTCAAGTAATCTGCCCACCTCAGCCTCTTAGAGTGCTAGGATTACAGGTGTGAGCCACTGTACCTGGCCTTATTTATTCATTTTTTTTTGGGGGGGGGTTGTTTGTTTGTTTTTCCTTTGAGTCAAGGTCTTGCTCTGTTTCACAGATAGAATGAAGTAGCATCATCATAGCTCATCACAACCTCAAAGTCTTGGGCTCAAGTGACCCTCCTGCCCCAGCCTCCCTAGTAGCTGGGATGAGGCACATGCCACCACATCTAGCTAATTTTTCTTTTTTCTAGAGATGGAGTTTTGCTCTTCCTCAGCCTGGTCTTTAACTCCTGGCCTCAAGCAATCCTCCCACTTCCACCTCCCAAAGTGCTAGTATTCAGGGATGAGCCAACATATCAAGGCTACTTAATCATTTCTAAGAGTATAGAGGACTCTTAAAAGTTTGAGAATTACTATAAGTCAAACAGCACTTTGATCCCAAGTCTCAGACTTATAAATTCTTGGATGGAGGGTAGAACATTTACCTGTAAATTGGAGAGCTGGGTGAAGGCTTTCTCACAGCCTGGGTGTGCACATTTGTATGGTCTATCACCAGTGTGGATTCTGCAGGGAATGAGAAGAGAGGGAAGGGAAAAATGTCAGCAAGGCCCCTTAGGAACTAACTCCTTAACAAACTTCAAGGCAAATCCTGTCCTCCTAGGAAGCACATCAGATGGGCATCCAAGAGGCAATAGCTTTGGTTTCTCTCTGACATGGATCAGGTTGCAACGCCTTAGATCTAGTCACCACCTGCACCACTCAGCTCAAGCTGAGCCTCCTCTCTGATGGGGAGGAAGGACTGAGGCCTCAGCACCTCAGGGACAGGCAGTCCACAAGTTGGCATACAAGTCCGCTCCTATAATCACTGTCCTAATGAACATTCAAAAACGTAAGGTAAACACAATGGCAAGGAGGAAGAAAAACACATTTCCTCCTTGGTCCCACCCTATAGCCAGAAACTATCCCTTGGCCTGTGAATCACCTCTACAGAAAATTACATTATCACACAAAGCAGGGTCACACTAATTGTAGAGAAGAGCAGTGATTAATGGAAAAGCGTGGAAACTCCTAGGAACTTTCCCCAGTCTAGCCCCCTAATGGTAGGAAATGCAAGTTTAGTACCAATTTGAACTCTTCCCACAACACTACAGGGCCCTCTGCTACAAGAGTGCACTGATACCTGCTTTTCACTAGGGACTTCAGAACTACCTCTCTGACCAGATGTTTTTTTGGACCTCTGGTATAAAATATCACAGGACGTATCTCTTCTTTGTGAAGAAAGCCTGACTCCTCAAAGCAAGATGTGTGATCACTTTAATGTGGGAATATCACATCCACAAGAAGCTGGCTGAGATGGCTTATGCCAGTATGTCTGGACTCCAGTTCAACTTGAGGTACCACATGAAGGAGATAATCACTCTTTTAGTTGGCAGGTTCACTTCCTCCCAGTCACTCCAGATTTACAGGATAAATTGTGGGCATCCTTACGAAGTATCAGTGTTTTTATTTTGTTTGCCGGTTCTGAGAGTATTTAATGCATGTTTTGTTTTGTTCTCCATTCCTGGCATCCTTTGGAGTTTTCTTTGTTGCTGTGGGTGTCACCAGGCTGGGGTCCAGCTTAGGTCCAATAGATTGTATCTTTTGTTCATAATTGGTGCACAAAGGGCTAGAGGTATAGTCTTCTCTAATCAAATGCCTCTGCTTTGGCATCAAAGAAAAAATCTTGGGTATCTTCAGGGAGAGAAATGAGGGCAAGAAAAGTTGTCTCCATTCCAGGTATATCTCTGCCTCCCATGGATCAGAGACTATCACAGTCATTGTATCTCCCTGATGTAGCTCGTGCCACAGAAAGGCTCTCTTAACATCCACTTGTGTCTCCAATGTTGCTGCTTGGTTTTCTTTCTCCCAGATGCCAGCCGTGTTCTCCTCCAGCCAGGTTTCTCCCCCGCCCCCCGCATGCGGGTTGTTTGGTGTGTCCGGGGCGGGGGTGGGGAGGGCATGCCAGCGGGGCGGGGTCAGTAGCCCGCCACTCTCCCTTACCGTGTGTGCTGCTGGAGGTGGGAGAGCTGGCGGAAGGCCTTCTGGCAGTAGGAACAGTTGTAGGGCTTGGCCCCCGAGTGGATACGGAGGTGCTGGGCCAGGTAGGAGGTGTTGGCGAAGGTCTTGGAGCAGTGCGGGCACTTGTGGGGCTTGATGGTCTCCGTGTGCATCTTGGAGTGAATCCTGCCGGAGAGGAGAGGAAGGAAGGGGGGAGGAGGAAGCAGTTCGACACCAGGGGCTCAGCTCTCTGCTGGGTGAAATGATGTTGCTTGACGGATGAGAGAGCACCCCCTCCTCCCTCCTCCCAAACACATTCCAGCCTGGATAGGCTAATGAAGAGGACACCCAGATCTAGGTTGTTGTTGGTTGTTAAGTCGGTGGCTAGAATGGCAGTGAGATGATGAAGAGCTGCAACCCATGGCTCCTGGTGACCTTAGTCAGTTTCGTCAACCCTCTGCTTTTTCCTAAGGTTATGCACTCACCACAGATACCCTGCTTCCAAATAGTAATTTGAACAAAGACCATTATCGCCTGTTCCCCATGGACCTGAAGTTGAATGCACACCTTGGCTCTGAACTGAAGCATATAGTAAAAGCAGGGCCTGCTCTGCAGAAGATTTCCAAACACAGACACAGAGAGAAACCACAAACTGTTCCAGACTTTGGGAATTGACTGGAGACCACAGTTTTCGAGGCCCTCCCAAATCACTAGGATACACAGTTAATTTCCACATACAATAATAGCAGAGAATTGAAGCTATCAAAGGGAAAAAAGAATACGTGTGGAGACAGAAGTAGGTACAAGGAATGTGGCCTTGGGGCTCACACCCAGGTATTGGGGTGAAACTCAGAGCAACCTTACCGGGTGTGCTGCTGAAGGTGGGAGAGCTGGCGGAAGGATTTCTCACAGAAGTTACAACTGTAGGGCTTAGCCCCTGAGTGTATACGGATGTGCTGGGCCAGGTAGGAGCTGTTGGCGAATGTCTTGGAACAATGTGGGCACTTGTGGGGCTTGGTCTCGGTGTGTGACTTGGAGTGGATCTGCATCTCCGACTTTGAGTAGAATGTCAGTGAGCACATCCGGCACCTGGGCCAAGTGAGGGCAGTGGTTAGAACCCTTCCCACTTAGAAGGCATGGCTGAACCCTCCCCTCCACTACTAAGAGAAGCCCACCCATCTGATCTCTCTATTCTAACTTGAGAGTAGGACCTCTATTTTATTCATCTTTATAACCTAAGCTTCTACCACAATGCCCAGAATGTTATAAATATTTAATAAATGTTTGCTGGATGACTGGCCTCCCTAATTGTGCAAAAACAGGAATTCAGCCAGATAAGGAAGAACAATTTTATGGGCTCTGGGCAGATGTGGATTTCCCTGGGCTAGGAATATCAGTAAACGTCTATCTTCCTTCTGCCTATAATTTGACTTCAAACTTTCACAGTTCCTTTTCCTAATTTCCTCACATATAAAGTACATCCCCATTGGCATTTTTCAAGCTTCTTAGATGATAATGAGACACTAGTTTCTCTCCTGTCTCCACAGATAATTTTCTTCCCTCAGATTTTCCCCCACTTCCTTTCTGCCAGTGATTCCTGGAGGAAGAGGGGCAGGGAAGTACCAGAATTATCTGAAGGGACTTTTCCAGACCATAATATCTGGCCTCCACACCCCACACTCCCACTGCTCCTTGGCAATCAGATAAGAACCACTTTTGCAATAAGCAAAGGTAACTATTGGGGGTGGGTTGTATCCCTTAAATGTTTGGGAGAAAAAGGTCTGCAAAACACCTATTTTCCATGCTAAAGCTTTCCACTCTTGTAGCACTGGAGTCAATATCAGCATTCTGGGTTGACGCCTACTGCATCTAAGTGTGCTTTCACTTATCACTTGATTTGGTAATCCCTCCCACTCTGACACTGTCCAATATATCAAATAAGGAAGACTCTGTGCAAGTTAAACCACAACTACTCAGCCTTTATTGGGTAAAAGCTATCTCTATGTGAGTGGGAATCCTATCATTTTCAAACAACTTATCAGTGCACAATGTGAGCTAGAAGAATGGGCAATGGGCTGGAAGCCAGGCTACTAGGGCAAGTCCCTCTACTTTGGATTCTCCCTAACTTACCTTATAAGAGGGGCTTAGGATGATGTGGGGTGATGGTTCCTGCACTTTTTCATCTCAGGAGGATTTTTTTTAGAGAATAATTTGAGATAAAGACTAAAAAGAACACTGAGTTCCTCATAGAAAACAATGTCATTGTTAGTTGGAGTATGGTCCCTTATATTAATGCTTTCACTAAAATTTCAATCATTAACAATTTTCATTTCTCTAGTCACTTGATAACCCTGAAGTTATCCATCCCTGGCTGTTGTCTGAGATGGCATAAGAGGAGGGAAGTTTTGTTTATAATAAGCATAATCCAAAGGGCATGGCCAATTGGAGTCTGGACACCTAGGCTCTACTTTGAGTTTAGTTATAAGCTTGCTCATTTATCTAGACCTCAATTTTCTGGTCTGTAAAATGGAAAGATGAATTTTTACCCCTAGAAAGGCCAGCAAACACCCAGGACAGCCAAAGGTGAGCCAAGTGTTCTCTAGTAGTAAAACTGAATTAATGTTATCAGCATCAGTACTGATTGATGATCTCATGCTACTATATATTTCACTAAGACTGAGGTTACAAGCTGGACATACTGTCAGGAAAAACTGTACTACAGTTGCAAACTAATTTTTCTTGATTCCTAGAATTTCTCAGACAGGGAGAATGACCTGTTCTGTTTATTTATTTATTTTTTAGAGACAGAGTCTCACTTTGTCCCCCTTGGTGGAATGCCATGGCATCACAGCTCACAGCAACCTCCAGCTCTTGGGCTTAGGCAATTCTCTTGCTTCAGCCTCCCGAGTAGCTAAGACTACAGGCACCCGCCACAATGCCCTGCTATTGACCTATTCGTTTCAACACAAATAAAATCTCATTAGTTTATGTGTGAGTGTTCAACACACAACTGTCCCTTTAACATGAAAGTTAATTATAAAGGCTGGGTGCAAAGGCTCACACTTATAATCCTAGCACTCTGGGAGGCCAAGGCTGGAGGACTGCTTGAGCTTGGGAATTCAAGACCAGCCTAAGCAAGAGCGAGACACTGCCCCTGGTCTCTACAAAGTAGAAAAATACCCAGGCATTATGGTGGACACCTGTGTTCTCAAATACTCAGGAGGCTGAGACAGGAGGATCACTTAAACCCAGAAGTCTGAGGTTGCTGTGAGCTAGGTTGACACCACACACAGTACTCTAGCCTGGGCAACAGAGTAACACTCTGTCTCAAAAAAAAAAAAGAAAGAAAGAAAGAAAGAAAAAGGCAGAAAGGAAATCCTCTAAGCTAAATAAGAGTAAAAGTTTTCTAATGCAAAGTGGGTTGGAGGGAAAGAAATTTAATTTAAGAGAGCTGTAGCAGTGGACGTTAGCAGGGGACAGAAAAATAATATTCCATTATCATGGGTGCATTACTCCAGGGGGCACCACTTGCATCCAACACAATGAGGATGATCCCCTTGGAGGCGTGCAATGTAATAATAGCCTTGGTCACAATGACCACTTTGAATTACTATCCCATTTTTCCCCAAGATATTCAAAACAATTTCAAATACTCTGATTTTCCCTCAAAACATTTCTATAAGATAGGTGAGGGTGTGACTGGCCATCCCAATTTTACAGATGAGAACAAAGAGTTCAGACATTAAGTTGACTTGCCCAGAGTAACAGAACCCAATTTCCCCAATACCCAGTTTAAATTCTATTGCCCCACTGGAATGGGCATGGTTGACTGACCCAGCTAGGCATCAAAATAGGGATTTACTGTGATTAAAAAAAGTTTCTGAAGAATTCTGTTTATCTAGGATACAACTAGTCACCTTTAAATTTCAGAGTTCTCCTTGGTTACCCAGGTAGGGGGAGTCTTTCAAGAATTCCAAAAACACTCAGGGGGTGCCTCGTCCTATTAGGCTTTCTTCCAAATATCTATTTACATTTCTTTTAACATACAATTTGGAAAGTCCAGAGATAACCTTTAATGTGGGTTTAAAACACAAATAAGTACAGAAACTTGGCAGAAAGAGAGGACTCTGACCCATCAGAAGGGTTCCATAAGGTGTTAGAAGATCCTCCCACTATTCCTACAGCAACAAATTTTATACAGATATATCTCCACGTCACAATGACCTCACTTTAAGCAAAAATATAATAATCTAGATTTCTACAAAATAAATTTAAAAGGGATTTTCATTTTATGAAATGATATATATATATAAAAGAATGTCTTTAAATGAATCAAACTTGTCAGATACCTTTATAATATGATATGATGTAAACATTTTCCAGGAACACTTTTATTGTATAAAGTGGGGTACACCTGTAATAATAAAGCTGCAATGAACTTTCGGATTATGAGCTGAATTTCTGTAGTGCTTAATACTTTCTGCATAGCAACAATCTCCTCATTTTTACTTATAAAGAGGGATTTAAACACTCTGTAGTCATGGCTACTTTCCACAACAGAACTGTACAACACACATAAAAATAAATGCTAAATGATGACTATTTCTTATCTTTCTTTTAAAGTTCCCAACATTTCAAATCTTATCTGATATATACTCCCAGAAAATGGGAGGAATAAACAGAATTCTCCCCATTTTACAGATGAGGAAACTGAGGCCCAGAGAGGGGAAAAGGACTTGCCCAGGGTCACACAGCAAGTTCGTGGTGGAGCCGGGAACTGAATCCATGAGCCCAAGGCTCTGTCCATTTCCTGTGCCGCAGTTCCCTTCGCTCCTAAAATGGGAACAACATTGCCCATCTCGGTACACTAAGGACAGACCCAGTCTCCCAGCCATGCACATCTGCCCCTGTCTGCATCAAAGCTGTGATGATGGTTATCCCACTCTGTATACGGGAACCAAATTCCCCAAAACTACTAGGGCCTTTGTCAGCTCTCAAGGGGTTTAAAAGATGTTTAATTCTCAAAGGGCAAAGAGTTTATGTAATTATTTTTGCATACTATCACATGCAAATATGCATATATTGCTTTTTGGTATTAGGCAACTTAGAGGAAGTAAAGGATCAAAATGACTTTCATGAAGTAGAAAAGTGAGCAAAAGCAAACAGTCATCCTGTAAGCATGTATTCCAAAGGGAGAAGGTATCCTAATCCTCCTACCCTTTCATGTAGCCCCTCCCATCATCCCAACCGTGCAGGGTCAGGCAGGCTCAGCACTCAAACATGGCCCAATAACTGGTGGATGGCACACAGGTTAGGTTAGGTGCTTACTAGAAAAGTTTCTTGTAAAAAAGGGGAATGGAAAATGTAGAAAGTTTAAAAGGAGCTGCAGACAGAGTCTCAAACCTAGTTTAAAGCCTTATTACAAGAGAAAAACTATATTCTGTCACACAAAAATAATTCAATGCTAATGACTCCCAAAATCAGGGTTTAAAAAAAAAAAAAGGAAGGGGTGAAGTGGTTCTGCATTCTGAGGAAATGGCACTGGAGGAGGGTCAGCAGCTCTGCCTTGCTGCCCTAAGACAGAACACCTGACATGTAAATGCCTCTGATGTGGAAGCTGTCAAGAATGTAGTGCCAGACTGGGGCAGGATACCAAGAGGGCAGGGGAGCTAAGACAGCAATCCTCACCCCATCCTGCCCCCAGCTCTGAGTCTTACCTATAGGTCTTGCCGTCTTTCTGATGGTCATCGTCATCCTCAGGGGAGAGGACATAGGGGTCATTCATTTCAGGCAGCCCTGACTCCAACATCCGCTTCTTCTTTCGGCCCCGGGGGGGCTTAGGAGCCACGCTGCCACCTCCACCACCACCTCCACCTCCTTCCTCTGTTAGGGTTGATGCTACCTTCTTAGAGAGGTCAGGGACCACCTGCAGGGCTTGTGAGCCAGGGGGAAGAGCTGAGACAATCATGGGAGCCGAAATGGGGAAGGTCTGAGCTGATGAGGCTGTGGTCACAAGAGAGCCTGAGGGGGACGTGATTACCAAACCTGGACCTAGGATTGGGAGAAAAGGGAGATGGCGTCATGTTGTTCAGTCCTGATCCTCATCCTATTTTATTTTATTTCCCCCCAGTTCATCTAATTAACCCCTCACCGCCACCTCCCAACCCAGAGTATACAGGAAACCCCAAGCCCTGTAGAAAAATAATGGTCTCCTAACCCCTGTCCCCACCCCCCTGGTAACAGTGAGATTTACCCCTTGATTGACTCCCTTCTCTTCTCCACCTCTGAGAACAGGAGACTCCTTGATACAGAGAAGGAAAGAATGTCACCTCCTCAAAGGCAGGGACCGCATCTTCTACTTCTTTGTATCCCCCACAATGCCTAGCACATTGCTAGGCACACAGTAAGCACTTAATAAAAATTTGATTGAGTAATCAAACACATAACCCACTCCCCATGTTCTTAGAGCCCTCCAGCCTGGGGTACTGATCATGGAAGATCAACACCTCAGATTAGAGAAGTACAGAGTTGCTCACCAGCAGTCATCAGTCCTGTAGATGGCACAGGGACCACTGTGATATTCTGAGTGACGGAAGCCTGGCTGTGTGGGGTCAGCTGGTCTGATTTGGATTCCGTGTCCATACTAATGCCTGAAGGCAAGGACACTGAGGCAGGCACTGTCAGCAAGGTGGGGTAGTGAGGTGGAGCCAGACCACAGCCCTTCTCTGGCAACAGCTGATCCTTCATCTTATTGATGAACATTGTGTTCTCAATCTAAAAGAAAAGGAAGTGGAAGGGGAGCACTCTCTTCAGACTGGGAGAGTCTAATTTTTTCAGTCCCTAATCACTTTTCAGTGTTTGTCTTCCTATATAGAGATCACGGTCAAGGAGTTATTATCTTTGGGCTTCCAGGGAAGCCAAGACAGAAACGCTATAATATAATTCTCAGTGACAGGGGATTCAATGAAACACCATGTGGTTTCTCT